AGATTAGCAAAAAATATGAAGTAAGTATCTTTGATTACTCACCATAATAATCTGTTAACTGTACACTAACTGCCCACTGTGACTGTTCTTTGTCACAGTATTTTTACTTTCTTAGCTAAATCAGGGCATCCGTTCGTTGGAGCAGTCCGTGTTTTGCAGCCGCTAGCATAATATTCACCCATATGTTGTTTTTATTTTGAAAACCATGGGGGTATTTAATCTTGGCAGTATTTTCAAATGAAATTAATTTTTTACTCATGCTCTGTGTAATTTCTGTAGAAAGGCCCTTTTTAATCTCACCTCTTAAAACCTTGAGGACATATGTGTGTCAAATCTACATTTTTTTATAATTCTAAGTCCTTCATCTGTCGTGAACCAGTATTTGAGGCAGCCAAACTGTCCCATTTCCAAACAGATGAGAGAGCAACTGTGGCTAAGGTTTTCCCCTGAGTATTCTTCGTGATCTAATCTTAACGAGGAAGCAAAGTTTAGAAATTGATAGTTAAAGCAATAAAGTCTTAAAGAGCAGTTTTTAAAAGTTAACAGTTAAAGGAGACCTAGGTTTAATCCTCTGCGGGAAGTGTTCAGCCAGCAAAAGACTCAATAAGCATCTTTGACCTCCCTCCAGCCTCCTCTCCCCACTACCTGGGTGAGGAGACCTAAACCCCAGTGGAGAAGTCAGGTCAGGAAACCCAGGACCGGGACCCACTAAACATGTGGCGCCAACATCTGCACTTCCTAATCTGGGGGACCCAGGCGTTTCAGATTCCTTCAAGAGGAGGAATTGAGCTGAGCACTCAATTTCCCATGTTTAAAAAGTATTATCTTCCTCACTCAAACCTCATTTATTGAGACATGGTCGAGTGACAACAAATAGTAATGGAAAGGTTGTATTGGAAGGCCAGTGATAGAGTAATTAAAATGTAGATGTAGTGCAGAGAGAGCAAAGAGCAGGAGCAAGCTAAAGTGTGGTGTGTGTGTTGCTGGAGACAAGGAGGGGGTGTTGGGGGAAGAGAACAAGCACATAGAAAAGAAAGGAGGAAATGAGAATATATTTCCCATTATACCCTTTTTTTTTTTTGGACTTGAAAAATATCATCGCATTTCTGACTTCTTAAAAAAAGCCTCAGAAACTGAGGTGAGCATACTCTTGTTTCTTGCCACTATGCTAAAGCCCCCTAAAAGAAGCCTCGTGCTGGGAGACAGCTGGTAGAAGCCTTGCCACTTAAAAGAGAGCTTTTGGGATTCTGCTGCACTCTCTGAGCTTCCCAAGAAGAACGAAGCCCTGAACATTTCACAGCAGGACATTTTGTGGCTAAACCACGCACTTAAAGTTACTAGATTCTTGAAACATTCTCACTGTGCCCACGGGCATCCAGTCAACCTTGGTGCAATGCTGGCTTTTAAAATGAACCCTCTCTGGAAGTCAGCTTGATTGCTTATATTTAAATTATGCCTAGGGACGTTTATTTTCTCATCTCCTTTGGAAAAAAATTAACTCTAAAAAAACCATTCCAGGGACTTTATATTTAGAAATGTAGTAGTTTATGCTTTCCACATGGTTCTCAGCCACATGGCTCTACAGTAGCACAGCGAATACAATAAAGGATACCTATGATAGCCTCCTACACACACACACACACACACACACACACACTGCCTCCTCCTGCACTGATCACTGCTTCATCAGAATCATTGAACCCTGCAAGAGGGCAAATTATAACATAGCTACTTCAATGAGTACTTATATTACATTGTTATTCACAGAATTGTTAGCAATAGTAAGTAGGATAGCCATTCATTTAGTTCCATATGTCATTTTAAAAGCTTACTTTATCTGGCATGAACAAAAGGGCTAACTGGTCAAAACTCTACACATCTTAGAAAAGGAGATCACACATTGTACGAGTTCTCATTTCCCAGCCAGAACACATGAAACCATCCCTGAACTTATATTACCAGACTCATAATCAGTCACACATCCATTTTAATATTTTATGCTCCAGGCATCTTAAAAAAGAAATTAAGTTAAAGCAAACTGTAAGTCAGCGAAATGAAAGTAAACGAGACACGAATAAAGCACATTTACTCACCAAGTTCTAGACTGAAAGTCCCTCTGAGATCTAGGTAAGTGCTACAAGGTCTAAGAAAGATGTAGAGCTTGTCTTCTCAGCTCTTTGAATCAAATAGTTACTAAGTGGTTTATGTAGAAACATATATTTTGAAAGGTTAATCCACCCATACACAGGGAAACCCCTTTTTTAAGAAAGTCACTCCCCGGCCAAGAGGCTATTAATATTCACCTCTCCACTACAAATACAACCTACAGATGAAAGATTCACAACCTGTGTGAACATACCACAGAGGATTCCCTCTTAGTTTGTGTTGTAATGGAAACACACACACAAAAAAAAACAACACACCTCTTCAGGCAGCTGGGGGTACTGCAGGAAATTCACCTGCCCACTTCATGGAAAAGTTCTATCAGCTTAATAAGGCCACAACACAAACATGAATGTAGAATTAGTATAATTTACTGTAAGGACCACATAGGTCACATACTCATTTCTAGGAATGTTCCTATCTCTTTCCCTGAGAGAGCTTGCACCCAGGTTAACATTTAAATCCTCCCCCTTTAAAGTAACATAGAAATATGCCCACTACCTTTAAAAAAAGGGGGGTGGTGTTGCTGAGTGTTTTCTATGTAGAAGGGAAATTCTATTTTTAGTCTCCATTGCTTCTCTGGGGTCCTGGGGTAGGAATTGTATCTAGATTTTCTCATCATGCTGGAAAATAATCTGCGTAATTATCAGCAGTAGGAAACCTCTCCAAAAGAATTTTTAAAAATCGGTGACTTTCTGGGAATAAAATCATTGCTGATGAAGTATACAGTAGTCACTATATATACTTATTTATACCATGTTTTATTTACATTAATATTTATTGTTTCTATTGGAGTATTCCTTTTCCCATAGGCATGGTGAGATTAAGTAAATGTCAGATAGCATGTTGGCAATAAGCTTGGAGAAGCAAGAATATGTCAGATTTTGCTTGGTCCCCTTAAGTTCGCATCACAGCAGGCTTCCTACTTCGGAAAAATAATTGACGCCATGAGTTAATGATGGTCTAGTTTCTATAACTTTGAGAGGTCAGTGGATCACAAGGGAACTTCAACATTGTCTTTCTTAAGACAGAATGTCATACATGTTAGCCAGGGGTGGTAAAGTCCTGAATGTTAGATTTTTGTTCTGTCTTTAAACAAAAATTAAAAATTAAAATTAAAAATTAAAAAAAAATTCAGAAGAAAAATAGTCCCCTGTGCCACATAACTTGCACATGCAGCTAACCTAAAAGATTCTCAACAGGAACTAGGAAGTAAACAATCCTTAATCTGAGTTATTAAAAGAAACTATTTGATTTGAAAACACTACTTTTCAAGCTCTCCTAAAGTCTTTTGAGAATGTCTTTTTCTAGGTCTTTTGAATTAATACAAAAAGCTATTTTCCCTGTTTGTTTTTTTCCAAGTGAGAAAAAGAATTAATGTTTTATGAGAATATGCCATTTTAGTGTGATTCCAAAAGAGAGAGTAGAAATTCATCAGCCAACAGTAAGGAGATTGAAAGTTCTAGAAACTGCAGACTGAACTAATGTCTTCCATCCCTGAAAGTACTTTTAAAATTACAGAGGGTTGTACAAATGCATGATGTAACTGCTGTTATTAAAACTTAGACCTCTTCCCAAAGGACCTGTGTTGTCTTAAGCCTGCACCTCTTTTTTTGATGATGACATAAATTAAAGGGTGTAGACAAAGCAGAGAAGTCTGTTTCAGAGTCTCCTGAAGGTTAAACAGGAAGGTTATTTCCATTAAAAACTATGAGGGCTGGAAGGGCATGCAATTGTTATTCACCTCATGGAAATGTTGGAGAAAGAGCATCTGTAAACCCTAGGACAGACCTTGTCTGCCTCCCATGCTTCTAACTGTAAAGGGGTCGTGGGCAGTTCTAGAACACCACGGTGAAATACAGGCATTACTGGTCCATAAATCACTGCATTGCTTCTTCTGTACATCTAAGTCACCTCATTGCAACTGCAAGCAAAAGCTGGCCGTCTGCTGACCGAATGATTTTTGTACTGTTTGCCAAATAGCATTCGTTTAGTGATTTACCTTTAGGGAAAAATAAGGAAATGAGTTGGAAAAAAAATTAATAAAACTCGAAGACTAGCACCCACAGTGACTGATCCAAAATGAATTTCACCTGGCTTGAGGGTTACGAATGTCTCTGGGAAAAGGGAGAAAATGAGGTTGGTGAAGTAAGACAAGGCCGCGTAGTGTTGAGTTTGGGAAGGAGAAAGCCCTTTGCTTTCTCTGGAAGTAATATTAAAGGGTAAGGACGTTGCCATGATTTAGACTTGAGAAAGGGCAAGTCGGGCCTGTTTCTCAAGATGAGCTGGAGGTCTCGCTCAGCGGTGAGGCTCCCAGGTCACAGCACATGCTTCCTGCACAGCCTCAGGGAGGTAGGCCAAGTGCTTCCACATGCTTGCCTGCTGGAGAGGTGCCAGCGCTCCCAGCCCCCGTCTCTGCCAGATTCAGGCTTCTATCCCTCTTAGCTTCCCAGCACCCCAGTTTCCAAATCATGAATAAGAACGGAAGTTGAGGGCCACCCCGGTGGTGCAGCGAATGAGTGCTGGGTTGCGAAGCTGCCCGCAGCTTCTGCAGCATGGGTTCGATCCCCGGCCGCAGGCGAGGGTCCCACATGGCGCGACAGACCTCTCCTGCCATGCCCGCAGCTCCCCTCAGCAGTGTACTTCGTCAGTCTGCCTGCTCTGCTCCCCACTGTCTCTGGTGAATGCTCTCACCCTCCCGCGCTTCTGACTGTACCCGGTGCTTGTATAAATAAATAAATAAATAAATAAATAAATAAATAAATAAATAAATAAATAAATGAATCTTAAAAAAAAAAACAAAAGAACGGAAGTTGAAAGGATGGTAGTGCCCATACCTCCGTTGAGAAATTCATTTTCCAAGGTTTCATCTCCTTAAGGTGTCCTAAGGAATGTGGTGATGCCCACCTGGCAGTGTTGTCCTGTTAAATTATAGTTTCCCCAGGGAGTTGTTTAAACTACTGTTTGTTGGGTGAGAGCTGGCTGAGGCTTAGGGATATTATATGGCCTCTCAGAGTCCTTCAAGAGGGAGGCCGTGGCCTCTTGCCAAAGTGTGGCCTTTATTGAGAGTGTTCCATTACAACTTCAGAACCTCAGCTGTAATTCTACTTAAAGACAGAGAAGACTGTGCCAGGAACCTCAGCTGATTGGATTGCAAATCAGAAGGGTTACATTATTTCTTGGGCACGCCTGTCTCCTAGCCCAGTTTGTTAGGAACAAACTTTAGTGTTAATTGGATATCTATTCATTAAACTCTGGGAACATTTAAACTCATGAGATAGTGGTTAAATTTGATATTTTTGGTTCATTTTTAAAAATTTCTGATAGAACTTGGATTTAAGGATTTGAGTGGGTTTTGCATTTTGCTGAGTGTGTGTGTGTGTGTGTGTGTGTTTTGTAGTACTGCTATGGATAGCAAAGAACTAAACAGCCTATGGTTCCAACCATTAAAATATCAGAGTTCTGCTTTTCCCTAAGAAGTGGAACTATTGTTGTGAAAAATTCTGCCAAAACCAGGAAATATCAGGTAAACAACTGGGAGAGAGAAGGGGCATAAATCTCCTTTCTAAAGAGGATGAAAGGATGGATATGAGTCACGGATGTAGATAAATCAGAAATGCAGCTGTGTGGGACTGAAGTCCAGTTATCGTTGTAAGTCAGACCCGAAAGATGTGGTGAACTTTAAAGGCCTTCCAGGTGCTCATGGAGAAGAGAGGCTCCAGGAGCACATTCTGACACTCAGAGCTAGGACTTTTATCCTCACAACTGTAGCTCTTCCTGTTTTCAGTACACAGGAATCTATTCTCACATGAATATATTTCCAAATTCGCAAACCATACCTGTTTTCAACATTAGACTTGCTTTTGATCATTCCTATCTTACAGGAATTACCACCCAAAGAGCATTAACTTAGAAGTCAGATGTGCTGGACCCCAAATTCTCTATGACCAACTTCAATAATTGACTTATTCTCCATCCATGTGAGAGTAGTTTCAGGGACTGGAAGCCCTACACATCCTATTCGAAAGGACAGCTTTCCTATGTCAACTTTTCAATTGTTTGCAGTTGAAAATCTGAAACAGATAACTTCTGATCATCAGCTGTCATTTCTACTTTCTCGGGCCCTCATTTAGTCAGTTGTCATGTGACTTTTAGATTTTAACCCCAAATCTATAGTGTTGTAGGCTTGATGCAATTGGGAGTAGGCAGGAACTTTAAAACTGTAAAAACAGTTACTAAAATGATTGACTTTATGCATATTTTAAGGAAAAGTCATTCACTATGCTGAAATTCAGAAGGGGCCCTCATCGCTTTATCCAAAAGGACTCGAATGATTATGTAACAAATGTAAACCTTTGCCTGTGGTACTTTGAAACTCACAAAATAAGTTTAAGGTTTATATTGGAAATTATTTTATATGCCAAGGAGAAAAATCCTGAGCTCCATTAATACAAGTTCAATTTAAACCAGTGTGTTATGGCAGTCATCCTGTCAACATTACAAATCAAGTTTATTTAACACCTTATCTAAAAATGAGATTGATACAAATGATGCCTAAAAATCCTATCCAGGCCAAAGGTTCGATAATTTGGCATTATCCAAAATAGCAAAGAATGCATTAATGTTTTCATTTTTTTTGTTTTGTTTTTAAGTTCCCTTGTGTAATTGAGAGAAACTAGCTCAAAATATATGACTTTCCCATTGTTCTACAGTGTTTACTTGAGTTGAGTCTACTTATAGAAGTATAGTAACTCTTTAAGTTCTTAAACCCAAGTGTCAAAGACCTAGAATGAGTTGGACCCCCAACTCAATTAAAAAGTTATATACTTAAATGCCTTGCTTGCCATTCAGGACTAAGTAGACTAATGGAAAAACCCTTCTCATCACATCCTTGGCTGTTCTGTAAAACTATTCAATAGTAAGGTTAAGTTCTTCACTCTTAAGACACATTTTTCTATTTTACAAAGATGCTAGAGTTTCAGAGAGTCAGGTTTAGCCAAGCACTCAAAATAGTAACTTTTCTTTAATTTTTTCAAGTATCAATACTAAACAGAGGAATCCTGCAATAAGCTGCATTAAATGATATTTTGTGGAAAGAGGAAACAAGGAGAAGTAATTTTTGATATTAGTCTGTAACTTCCAAAGATAACTATTTTTTATAAAATTTGGCACATTTTCTTCCAATTATTTTCTTCTCCCAAAACTCCATATCCTTGTTGCCCAGCCCTTTAGTCAAGAAACAGATAAGATGAAAGAGATATCCTTTAAATAACAACCTATCCACGGTAGGGTTTATGAATTCCTTAGGGTGAGGAGTCCTGTTCACGATCCATTTCATTCTAATGAAGTCAGATTAAGTGAATGCACACACAAAAGAAGGTCAAGGTTCACTGCAGGGTGTGGAGATAGAGATGAAGTTGTGCTGGGGTGTGTGCTGGTTGACATTTGGGGAAGCTGTTTTGTTCCACCACTAGGTTCCTGTTGGTTGAGTCTGACTTAAGAAGCTTTACATCATTTCCAGCTTTCAACCCCCCCATTTTCTGTAATTGGATTCCCCTCCTTTATCCTGCTCCTGAATGACTGCTGCTGCCTCATCTTTTCCTACCTCACCTCAGGGTGGGAATGTCAAGCTCATCCAGTCATCCTTGGCTGTACATAAACTCCACCTGGACCTGGTCTCTTTCTCCTTCATCAAGCTTCTTCCTGTCACCTCTCCCAGTTGATCTGTGGTGGTTTCCTTCCACCTGAATGGGAAGCCACGGAGATCCTGATTACCGATCCTCTGGATGGCTTGTGCTTGTGTGGTGAGGTCACCCTATGTGCTTTGTGTATCTCTGAGTCGGGGAGCTTCCCTGGCACCCCTCATCTGGCTGTTATTTGTTCTCAGGTGCTAGGCTTTCTTCCTGTCTTGTATCACAGGAATGGTTTAACAGGACTTAGAGGCTTTTCCTTAAAATCTTAGAGGTGCTGTCTCTAAATGCTTTAGTTTATGGTAGAACTGCCTATGCCCATAGTTCAAAGTCGGCTTGACTACAAGTCACATAGTAGCAGCCACTTCTGTAAGGAAAGTGGGCTCTATTCATGAAAAAGAGTCATCACTCTATAATATTTGAAACAAGAAGGATACCATCCTAACTATTTTGCCATTTCTCAGGAAATTTAGTGCTTTGTGAGTATGGGGTAAAAAAGCGATGAATCTTCATAACTTTACAGGAAAGATACTGTTTCCCTTGAGTTATTAGGACTGTGAAGTAAATTTAGTTCTACTTAGAGAACAGAGCTCAGAATTGTTGTTGAGGGATATTTGTTCCTCTTTGGTAATGTTTATTCCTTGACTGGGGAGATGTATGCTGCTTTTATTGGGTATTCACCCTGAAGATAGGCTCATGTTGGTAGCATAGAGATTTCTGTAGTAGAATCTCCCAAAGCCTTTCCTTTTTCTCAGCTGATACTTTTAACAAGCACATTCTTCATAAGTTTTTCAGGAATTGTCATCAGTCTACTTGCTGGTTAGAGCTTGCACACTTGTGAAGGTAACGGTACTATAACTTAAAGATGAAGCTTATTGCATCAAATAATTTGAAAGCTCTGATACAGTGAAGTAATGGGCCATTAACAGGACTATTTTCAGAGCAATTGTAAAATCCACATCAAAGTGAAATACCATCTGCCCTGAGTTTGATTATATCGAGAGGAGGTGTAGCTACAAATTGCCCTGCTATATTGAGTAGCAGAAGCTGCATTCTTGCCCTGACCCTCAACCTCATTGCTTGTCTCCTGACTGCTCACTGGGCTTTCACACCACAATTTCTTCATCTCCAGCCTGTTTTCTCCAGTGGGGAACATCCTCTTAACCAACTCACACACCATATGCTGAGCTTGCACTTCCAGGTCCCTACATTCTGGCTCTGCACTCTCTAACCTCTGCATCACTCTTCACGTCGGGGCAAGACAGCGTTGTAACCTGTGACTTCTGATGTGTATGTAGCCACCAAGTGAGTTATGGCTTACCTGGTGCTTACCTGTAAGGTAGGACTTTGGAATAGGAAGGAACCTGTCTTAAGGACTATAGAAATAGCATCATCTCTCCCACCGCTCCCCAGTGCACATGATACTGGGGTGCAGGAGGAGACCTGATTTCTGGAATTAGGTCAAAGAAGCTTGTACCAATATTGTGGATAAAGAGGAAGCACCTCCTCGGGTTGTGGTGACAGGCAGTAGAGACAGAAAGTAAACACACAGCAATGACCCACAGTAATGGGGAGCAAAAGATTTCCTAAGATGCCAGTGAGTCTTAGCTTCACCATCTTCTCAAAGCACTAGAGAAATTAGGAGTGCCTGGGTGATCTCCATCTGCTCCTTTTTTATTAGCATTGCCCACCAGAAGCCTTTTCAGAGGTAGGATCATGGAAACAACAGAAAGGTGATGAAAATGGAATGTGCTGGGGCCACTTCTAGTTTTGATTTCATTTCCTTTCTACAGTTGTGTGCTAGTAGGTCTATACAAATGCAAAGTTCCTGGGTATCTATTATGTTAATATTTTCATGTCCATAAATACAAAGCATACATAATATGACAGTTGGAGAGTGTTTGGGTCTTTGATAGAGTGAAAGCTAAATATGTTAACAAAGATTGAAAGTTGATTCACTCAGTTTTGAGAGAAAAAAAGAAATTCGGACTATCAATTCCTTCCTGGAAGTGCTCCCATGATGGGGGTGGGGGTGGGGGGTGCATTCTCTACTGAGATAATTTTGAGCCATAATCTAAAATTGAATGAAGCAAAGGGAGAAATTATGTCCTTGGCAAAAGCCATGAACAGTATGACCCAGGGCCTTGGAGAATTTCAAATGA